TCTCAGGCGTCACTCGCAATCTGAATGGCGAGTTTGAGTCATCACAGCCAAAGCAAAAAGGAACAGTATCAGACAATGGTTATCTACTTCATAACCTGAATACTGACAAAAAGGCACAAACTATATAGTATCTGGTTGCTAAAAGGATCCCAGGATGCGGTTACCACCTAACACTGACAGTCCATGCAACAATGAGGATTTGTATTGCAGTGAGCTAAGCTCCAATCGGAGCAGTACTTGCGGTTAGTGTCCAGGTTGTTGCAGCGATGAGTTGCAGAGCAGTGGGCATCCAATGCACATCGGAGTGGCAGCAGGTCCAAGGCTTTGTTTGGTACAGGTAGCAGGTTCAGGAGGCAACAGGCGTTCTGACCTCAATTTCGGAATGCCATGTTGCCTCTCTGACGCTCTTAAATAGTGCCTGGGCGATGGGAGGAGCCACGGTTCGTACTGCACGACTTCCGCGTTCCAGCGTGGAACGCAGCCACCGCGTCACGAGTAACCTCGAGCGGCTTCCGCGTTCCACAGTGGAACGCAAGGAAGCCGCCACTGACACAGGGCGTTACATAAGCTCACTTACTGCAGTCTCTTCTACTCAATAACATGAAAAATGGGCAGCACAGTGGTGTAGTGGTTAGTACTTCTGCCTTGCAGCACTGGAGGTCCCTGGTTCAAATCTTGGTCAGGACACTATCTGTAAGAAGTTTGCATGTTCTCCCTGTGCTTGTGTGGGTTTCCCCCAATATTCTAAAACATCCTGGAAGGTTTGTTGGCTCCTATCTAAACTGGCCCTATATATACTGTATGTAAGATAGTGGCATTAGATTGTAAGCTCCTTAAAGGCAGGGACTGATGTGACCGTGTAAATTGATGGCACTAAAGAATCTGTAATAAATAATTTTATTTTAAAAGTAATTTTCAGTCTTTTAAATCCACCTTTCAATAAAATGATGCATGTTAATCCTGCCATGAAAGTTCTTGCTCACGCACCTGCTGTTGTGGGGGGACAATGCTTTCTCCCTGCCACCTAGTTGAGAGTTTGCATTGTAACCTTTTGACATTCAATTTCAGTGGACACTGTACAGATGCATATTGCACAATCTCTGTTCCAATGTTGTTACAGTCAGAAATCGTGCTCTGACCATTGCCATGCAGCTGCTGCTGGAAACAGTGCATGTAGACAGGAGTGTGACTCCAAGTGCTGGACGAAATCGGCAGCATCGAAATGCAGAAAAGGATGGAAAAAAGTAAAAACTGTATTTTGTAACAAAAGATAAAAAAATAGCATGGCAATATTTGTAATACACAGTGATTTAGCAAAAAGTTAAGGCTTACATCTACTTAAAAGCCCCATTCTGCTTTTATTATCAAATATTCCTCATATTATGTCCAAGTAAATGTGTTTTTAAGCAAATACATTTTTTCATTGACTAGTAAGTATAATTTACGAGTTGACGATGACCTGAATTCAAGTGAAACAAATGTCATTTAAAGATATGAGACATTATTGCCTTCATTATGTCAATCACATCAGCTACGTCTATTTAATTTCTAGAACACAATGCAAAAAACATAAATTTGATTTTAAAACTATTGACTAGAAAAAAGTTTAATAAAATAGATTATACATTTTGAAAGCCCAGCTGTAGATTCTCCTTATCCCTTAGGGATGACCTATCCGATACATGAGGAAAACACATAAATCAAGTGCTGCTTCAGGTCATTTAAAATATTTGGGCTGGTGTGCTGCCACATGCTCTCCCTCTTCCTCCTCCTTCTTAATTCTCAAATCCTGTTCCAATGCCTAATTTGTTTCACATAATACAAGCTCTCCTACTCTTCAAAGAGAACACCACCATGTGCGTCTTACTCTGTTGATCCTGACAGTCCGGTTCAGAGTGTGCTGTGAATCCTGTGAATCCTCTCTATGGTTCGGTGAGCACGAGATATTTATTTGAGACTGCAAAAGACATTCATTTCTAAAATGCACACCTGTTTCTAGCTAAGTGACCGATTTAGAATGTTTTCACTGCAAAAGCTAAAACTAATGTTACTGCATATTTTTGTATGGATAAGTATTCAGTATTGCAAAATGTAAAATAATAACTTGCAAATTATTCACAACCCTTGAAAAATGGTTACAAAAATATGGATATAAATTCCTTTCAGGCCCAATTAAAAGTGTGATTTTTATTTGTTTAGAATTAGTAACAGATGTAGTAATAACATACGTTATACCAAAATTCTAGCAATAGCTTTGTTGTTAAATTCCACTAAACCTTTATAAAAACTTTTAAATGAGGGCACCTCCTTTGACATGCCTAACCTGAAGCTTGCATCAGAGTTTAAGACACTATTATAAGGATCATAAATCCTAAGTCCACACCAAGTTTTAAACAAGATTTGTAGAAACAAATGCAGCACTTTCGGTGATGGAATAAGACCAAAAACATGCTGATAGCTAGTAAGACACGATGGGGTTGATTTACTAAAGACAAATAGAAGAAATTCCCCTTAGCTGATGAATGAGGTGAAGCTCTGCTGACTTCTATCATACAATCTTGTGCAAGCAAAAATACTATGTTTTTTTAAAAATTTCTGTGCTTGTGATTGGGTATTCTTTGCAAAGTATATGTTCACCACATTCACTGAGCTAAAGGAAATTTACTTGAAAGGGCTAATTCCTTTGCAAAGTGACCGGCCTGTTTGCCTCTAGTAAATCAACCCTGATATGTATATATGTTTAACCTACAGCTGTCATGAGAGAATTATATAGGCTTCCACTGCTGGCCTCTCTATTTTAAAATACAGGTTCCATGATGCTGATGTTTTGGCTTTTTGAGTTAGAACAAGTCTAGAAATAAAGAATTCTGACACTTTTCGGATGCTTGTGTACACCATGCTTATTCTGGGTCTTTGACTTAAAGTATTTTGCTTCTTTAAAATTAGGTCAACAATGGCAGCCCCCATACTTTCCCCGATACAAAGTGTTTTTAAATGAAACATTTAAACGTATAGTTTAAACTGATTCACAGTTTCCTCCACCTATAATTTATGAGAGATTCTGACAAGGGTATCATGTAAACTGCTACTCATTTGCATACACCAGCCCCCACTCCACTAAGTACTGCTAAAATCCATGTTCATGACCTGTGGCCAGACTCTACCCTATTCCTGGTCCCAGAAAAGACCCCATGAATTTACATTTGGCCAGTATATAATATAGGAGAGATAAAGAAACTGATTACTGATTCCAAAAGGACCTGTAGCCAGATAATAAGGGAATCATGAATACTCAGTTGTTTTTTTCTTTTTGCAAACCACTCAACATCTATGATCATATAAAATAGAATTCATAATTTAAATGTTTACATGTTTCTTATTTTCAATTTTTTTTTGCTTGCAATGTGCCTTCAACCACTTGCTGACTGGGGTGTTTACACCCCCTTTCCTGACCAGGCCATTTTTTAGTATTCAGTGCTGCGGTACTTTGACTGACATTTATTCTGTCATGCAACGCTGTAATGAAATACATTTGATACCATTTTTTGGGAACAGATAGAGCTTTCTTTTGGTAGTATTTAATCACTACTGGGGTTTTTAATTTTTTACTATATAACGAAAAAAGCAGCAAAATGTTTTTTTTTAAAACGATTTTACCTCTATTATGTTAGGAAACATTTATTATTACCCAATTTTTGGGTAAAATACAAAAGACGGGGTCACGTCGGGTAAATAGACACCAAACATGTCGAGCCTTAAAATTGTGCACGCCCGCGAAATTGCAAAAAGCTACCACACCCAAAATTGGCCATAGGCGATGCTTTAAAAGTTTTTAATGCTCATCAGTATAGTGTTAACAGTGATTGATGGTCCTAAAATTATTGCTCACACCCTATGACGTTCACGGCAATATGTGTTGTGTAATTGGCGCAATCGTCATTTTTGCGTGTAGGCGCACCTAACGCATTTTTGCGCATCTATGTGGGAGTGGGGGACTTTTAAAAAATCTTGTGGTTTTTATTTTGTGTGTAAATCTGATTTATTTTGTGACCAATTTTTTTAAAACTTTTTTTAACACTTAACTTTATTGTTATCACATAGAGGGATGAGGATCCCCCTATGTGATATCAAATTACAGTGACAGGTCCCCTTTATGGAGACATCAGGGGTCTCTAAGACCCCTAATGTCACCTAGGGACTACCCAGTGAAGTTGATGAAGCAAAGATCTGCTTCATCAGCTTCTCCCCGCCTTCTGTACCTGAGTGACATCACTTCATGCATTCAGAGACCGGGGAGGAGAGCGGAGGGAGATCGTGTACTAATCTCCCTCTGTTCTCAGTGCACAGAGCCACAACACCCATCCCGGATTGTATGCCCGGGATCGTGGGGACGGCGAGGAGAGGTAAGGAGGGGGCCCACAGAGAGATGCGTCAGACAAGGGATCGGGCATCTTTACAGATGCCGGACCGCTTTTATGGAAACAGCCCTCGCTGGCTGTTTTCAAATTCTGGCGGTTTCCCGCACGAAGGACGCCCACCACATCCAGAAGGCTCCCGTCCGACCGTTTCTGAATGCTCGGTGGACAGGAGGTGGTTAAACTTGTTTAAAAGCATTACTACTCCAGCAAAAGTCAATCCTTCCTTGCATGCTATATAGCCCTCTCCTCTTCTGGGAATGTCTAATTCCTCTATGTGCTTGTGAAACTCATCCACCCCTCCTCTCACCTCCACTTGACACTTGATTGACAGATGCTAGTATGCTATTAGACTTTTAGAAGTCAACACAAACATGGCTTTTAAAGGTAAATACCATGCATAAAATAAGTTAAATGTATACCTTACATGTATGTTATTGGTTTACTTTAAAATTGAAACAAGGCAATTCAAAGTAATATAAAAGAAATAAAACATAGAAGATATAAAAACTTCTTATAGAATCTTATAAAAACCATTTCAACACATTTTGTATGTCTGAGTATTGTGAAAACCATTTAACCAACCTTCCTGAATCTACTGGGACACAGTTGGATGCGGACGTACAACAGATGTGCCAAGTTGCATAGAGATTACATTTTCCTCTTGAATTTATGACCGAGAAAATAAACACAAAAAGAGAAAAAAATTACTATAGCTATACTTTACTGCTGCAATTGTGCAGGTGTCCTTAAAGGAAATTTAAAACTGTCCAAACCTGCAATACATATGTCTGTATATGTATAAAATTTACAGTGCTTTAGTGCCATATGTCACATTGCTTGGGCTCAGTTGTTTACCTCTCTTAGCAGTGTAGGTGGTAGGAATTAGCTGGTGCCAGTTATGATGGAATAGAAAAGGATGAGCAGATAAGTCATAAATAAAGCAAAAGGAACATAAGAGAACGGCTACAAGGACACTGTATAACTAATGTTGTGATGGATGGTCGGGGAGAATAAGGACTGCTGTTTAAGATGTGTTGATAGAGGAATTAGTTTTTAGGAGGGTGAAATGGTATGTTAAAAGGGGATGACCCCAAGACGCCTAGTGACCTTTTCTTGCCGAGTGGATTAGGAATTTGTATAAATGATCTAACTTAAGCCAAGTGAACAACACATAACATTTCTCAATTTTCCATAAATATGTCATCCTAGCCATTCTAAAATAATAGATAGATGTACTTAGAGCATCTATGTCTTTATAGTATTTTACTTTCAACTAATAAATAAATATAATTAGAAAAACAATGCATGAACTGAGTAGATATGAACACACAATGATCATCAGGTGTAATCCGGTTTTACCAGACACTGCTTAATTAAAAATAATGTTTTTTTTTTCAAAAGTGTAATTTAAATGTTTGTGGATGTATTAGAGTTAGAAAAGCTATATAAATGTTTTATTAATTTATGTTGTTAATAATTATTTAATACTTGATTTTAAATTTAAAAATCTATGCTTTTATAATTAACAGTAATGTTTTGCATGAATCCACCATCATGCAAATGTTCTGAGCATATATTGTGTTACAGTATGCACAGAAAGAATTACAATGGAAAGGAAAACGTTATTTTTATTTTAAATAGTGTATAATTTAAAACACTTTGCTCTACAATATTGGCTTTCGTGAAGTAGGTCTAAAGTTTTCTTAACTTCCCTGTAACTGGACAACTTGTTTTGCTAACACATTATCTTCAGCGCTAAACACAGCTAATCTAAAAATCCCCTTGAATTATCCTTAATTAACTGGAAAAGACAAGGAAAATGTTACCCCTGTTGAGAAACTGTGAGTGACAGATAAAAGTCATAACAATATATAAGCTTTCAAAAAAAAACAAAGAATGGTATACATATGTTCTTGGAATAAGTTGATGTATTTACTTTCATGGCTTTCAGGCTGCATTGTTTTGTGCAAACTAATCAATTACATATATTTCAAGAACATTTTCTAATAAAATGTATTTATTAATCATTACAAATGATGTAAAATCATAATTAGCTGAAACTCTACAGGTGAGTAATATTTATATATTTAAATGTAAAAACATGTAACAAGACATTAAATCACTCCCCCCAAGTAAAACATGTGTCTTTATTTCAGAAACAATTCAAAGTAGAGAGATATGATTTACTAAAGGAGATGAGAATCGTTAAACACTAAGGGTGTTATTCACGAAGGACCCGAAGGATCTAGCCATAGCTTCGGCTGATCCTTCAGCTCGCTTTGGCTGCTGGAGCCCTTCGCTTCTGTCTAACCAAAGAGCTGCTATACAGGCTGGGCTGTCATTACATGACAACAGCTGGGCGGAGCCAACAGAGATGTAACGGCTGGATCCGCCCCGTTGTTGTGCTGTAATGACACATCAGCATCCATAAACGACCTGGGGACACTGATCTGTCATTAAACAACAACAATTGGGCAGAAACGGCCGTAACTTCATGGTCGGCTCTGCCCAGTTGCTTTTGTTTTGCCTGGGACCTGCTAGAAGACTCTGGCAGGTGCTGACCAAAAGTAAACAGTTGGGTGGAGCTAGTGCTGATGTCATCGCTAGCTCTGCCCAATTGTTTATATTTTGCTGGTATCTGTCTTCATTCTTCATTCTGCGGCGGGAGTTCGTCGCGTGCGGACGGGTCGGCGGGCGTAGTTTTTTTATTATTATTTTTTTTACATTTCGTCGAGTCGTCATCATCGTGGACAACGCTGGACCTCCTGATTGACCTTAGGATTATGTTGGTGGATCAATTTTTTGGGGTTTTCTTTTATTCTTAAAGGACTTGTCAAAAATCCTTTTTTTTTCCAAAAGTCTGGCCTCATTTTAAAACTTTTAATTTAGCCCTTTAGTGAATTGGTAGGGGCACAAGTACCCCATACTCATTCACAAGGAGGGGGCCACATCTGGATGCCCCCTTTATTAAAGGGGTAGCCTAAAGTGAATAAGTCCCCTGCCTGCACCCCCACAACTGACCAAGGCTTGTGGGGAAGAGGCCCTTGTCCCCTTTGGCACGGGACATGGTGCTTTTCCAAGGTTGCCAGTGCCGAGGGCATGTGGCCTGGTATGGCAGGGAAGGGGGGGTGCTCACTCGCCCCCCCCCCTTTCCTGCCCTGACAGGCCTGTGCTTGGATCAAGAGTCTGGTATGGAATTTTAGGGGTGGACCCCATGTCTTTTTTTCCCCATTTTTGGGGGTGGGCTTTCTCCTTAAAATTCCTACCAGACCTTAAGGGCCTGGCCTGGCTTTATGGGGGAACCCCACACACATTTTTTATTTTAACTTGGGGTCCCTTCTAAAATTCCTACCAGACCTAAAGGATCTAAAGGTATAGTTTGGGAGGGGGACACCCTTCTGTTTTTTTATTTAAAAATATTTTCTTAATATCTTTTTAAATTGTCTTTAATTTTATATTTATTGAAATAATATTTAAACATTTTATTTCACTTGTTTACATTTCATGCTGCGAGCACAATTCTGATTGCACCGGAACGCAGAAATAATGTGCCTTGTGATGCCGTGCAGCTGATCGCATTTCGGCCAGAGGGCTTTGTTACGGTGCCATTCACTTCAATGGCCCGCCACGCCCCCTCCTGCCCCACAAAAAAATTAGTCGGCCGCAATGCGAGGCAGTGCATTCTGGCCTATAATCGGGCCAGAAAGCACTGCATCTGGTGTGAATGGGCTCTAAACATGAGATTGTAGTCCATCACAGGAGCGAACTTGGAGCGGTGGCTACTTTGCAACACACAAAGGGACCATGGGGAACAAAAGTAGCCACCCTCCAGAAGGAAGGACCGTGTCAGCACCAATTCAGAGATGATTTGAGGATCTACAGCTGAGTGATACACAAATAAAATACATTTTTTTTTAATAGTTAAGGGACTTGATGTTTCAGAGCCTGTTAAGGTACTCTGCAGCAGACTTGGTGGCCCTGTGGGGGATGAGGATTTGTAAGAGGGCTGGAACAACTGTGGATGACATGGTCTCTCTTTCAAGGCAACTCTTGATGCCTAATGGAGCAGTTCGTGGTGCTGGAATGCTCATTCTTCCAAAACAGGACACTCTCCACAAATGACTTGCAGTCACGGACGGAACTAGAGGGCGCTGTGGTGGATTTCTGCAGTGAGAGCAAGCACACGCGCGCGCGCGCAGCAGCGTGGGGACGAGAGACGTCTTTATTCATCCTCAAATACTATGTAACTATGTAACTATGTATACTGAAGCTGCCCTCACAGCAACCACCCTCCCACACAATAACACTGTGCACAGGGCGGCTGTCCCCTTCTGCAACCTCCCCTTGTCCCGGCTCTGTTTTTTCCTTTGTGTTAACTTGGTAAAAAGACAACTGTGAGAAACTCTTTAATGCCAGTATCTTTGATTTAATATGATATTGCCATGTCTCTACAGGTCAAATCTACTACATGCACAAAATTTCACTTTAAAAATAGCTTTTGAAATAAAGCACCAGTCCTAATTTTATTTGCTTTTGCCCCTCCCCCTTCCTATTATGCCAATAGCCTCCCTACCCCTTTCCAGCTACTTTACCCTCCCCTTTCCAGTGGGCATAAATCTGCATGTTTTGCAGGCCTGAGCACACAAAATTATGGCATGCTCTGCAGCACTTGAAGGACATTTTAGCTAGAGGGTGATGATATGAATGGAGTTCAAAATGTATGTCAACTCCTTCACTCAGATTTAATGCCTCACATTGAGCTTTCAAATCTCACAATCAGTTTCATGGATTGTTCCATTCTGTATTCTTTTCTGCATTGCTTGTTTTTATCTCTGCCCTTTCTGGTTGGCCACAGCTTTTAGTTGTAATGTTTATTTGCTTTTAGTTTACTCTTTTTTGCTCTATAGTATATAACCTAGTTTTTTTTTATTTAATTCATTACAAGGAGGACTAATACTCCAACATACATTGATAATTTATTATACATTACAGAGAGTGCAACAGGAGGACTGAGACTAGAGGGTAATATAATGGTAATATATTGCTTGGAGTTATACAACTACAGTGGATTATTCAGCTTCCAAGAAATCATACATGACTGAAATATCAGTTGTGAGTGAACTGACCCTAAACAAATGTCACAAAAATGAATAAATGCACAGTGGCTAGGTGTTAAGTGCTGTCGGATTACAACTGTAAGTCAGGGGTTCAAATTCCATCAGGGAATCTATCTGCATGGAGTTGTTTTTATCTGTATGTGTGAGTTTTCTTCCAAAATTTAAAATCATACAGGTAAGATAGTTGTCGTGATTCCAGTTTGACCCTATTGTGTGATAAGTGCATTTGATTGTGAATTAATTTACTGACTGATGTGAATAGATCCGTGTACTCAAAGTTCTTTAAAATGTCAGTGATATAAAAGTATTGTAAATAAACACTTTTAAAAATCATTTCAAAATGTGTTACTGGTTACATAGTACATATACTTGACACTTAAAAATATTATAATTTTATTGTACTAAATATATTAGAATGGTTTTTAAAAAAATAATTATTTTTAACTGCTTGATTTGGCTTCTTTGACTAAATTCAGCAAAACATTCATGCTGCGTGTTCTAATGTGGAGATCTCCCTCCACTTTCTGCCCTGTAGACACAACA